ATGAGCCAGACCCAGAATGGCACCAGCCAGACCCAGAATGGCACCAGCCAGACCCAGAATGGCACCAGTCAGACCCAGAATGGCACTAGTCAGACCCAGAATGGCACGAGCCAGATCCAGAATGGCACGAGCCAGACCCAGGCTGGCATGAGCCCATCATTTCCACAGCACATCCCAGTGCTCCCCACACCGTGTGGGTGCCACTGACTGCCCAGCCTGGCCCTCTCCTGGGCAGAGGAGCTGAACTCCTGCTGCCCTGGCACCCTGTGCCAGCACTGCAGGCTCACTGAGAGCCCCAACCCAGGTGCTGACAGCAATGGGGAGCTGCCTGTAAATCTCAAACCTCTGCCCCTGTGGGGTTTGCAGCAGGTTCCTCTCTACTGGGTCCCTTCCTGGGGCTCGCACATTAAAAATGGCACAAATTGGCTTCAGGGATTCAGAAAGACAAACAACCCTAAGGCAACTTGATCCTTGTTGTTCTACTGCCTCCCAGTCTGCATTTGTGAAACAATTAATATTTGTAACTCAAACAGAACACTACTGAAATAAGGTGGTTGTGAAGTTAATAGAGGCAGTGTTACACAAAATTCAACTACTAACTTGTCACAACCACTATTACAGAACAGACTTTAGGTTTTGATGATAGAACAGACTTTAGGTTTTGATGATAGGTTTTTCAAAGAAACTTGCATCTCTGTTGTAAAGGCCTTTGCTCATGAAAAACAACTAATTCTGCTTTACCCATTTATTCCTCTAAACTGCCAACATTCCATTAGTTTTAACCACACCAACCTGTTAAGTTTGACAAGTTTTCTCAGAAAACAGCTCATTTCAGGAAAACCGTCATGCACAAGACACCAAAATGTAACAGCTGAACACTGACAATCATTTAAATCTATGGAATATTCTAGGCCTGTAAACTTCCATGTTAAAGCAAAATGACTGTTTAAACCATGTTTCCTCTAAACCAAGAGTTATTTACTAACAACAATAGGAATGAGAGCACTTTCATTACTGGTGGTGAACAAAAGCCACAGAAGAGGAAGATAAAGGCAAACGCCCAAAAACCAAGATGGAGGGGGAGATGAGAATGCAAGAATGGGGCTTTACACAGTGAGAGGAAATAAAAGGATGAAATAAAATGTTTAACTAAAAAGGACAGGGAATGGGTGCCTTCTGAGTTTTGCCTGGCAAGTGCAAGACCCTGCAGAGCAGCAGTTGTGAGGCTGCTGTGCTCCTGGCAAACACCACTGCAGAATGGGATGCTGGTATTACTCTGCTCCTTAACTGACCAAAAAGGGAACTTGAATCTTTCATTTTGATCCCTTCTGTTGTGGCTGTTACAGGATTATTTGCTAGAGAGATAATGCCATTTATACATCCTCTTCTATGACCTAGATATGCAACAATATAAATGCTTTATATAAAATGAGAGACACTTTGGCTGGAAAAGACCTTTGAGAACAAGTCTGACAATAAATTCCATGAGGAAAGGCTGTGCCTGCACCCATCTGCCAGACAAGCATCTTGTACACATTGCTTCTATTTTCATGGTGACCATCCAAGTGTTTTCTTATTTCCATGTTTCTCTCCCCACTCAGCAAATCTGAGACTGCTCCAGCTGCAGCAATGCAGCCAGGGTGAGTCTGTGTCACCTGAGCCTCCCAAGCAGCATCTGGCTTTTCCCTTCCCATCAGCTCTTTCTATTCCAGGTTTGCAAGGTTCCATTGGACTGAAAACCAATTCACTGCTGCTTCCAGTTTCCCTGGATAAGACAAGGCAAAGCCTTCAGCACCAGTAAAGCTCTGCTGTATTGCAGCCCAGTAAACCCCGGGCTCAGTGTGCAGAGCTGAGACATCAAACCACCAAGAGCATTCTGCAGAAAGCACCTGGAGCTGATCCCTCCATGTGGGATTTCAGTCCTGCCCATTAAAGAACTGCTCAGATAATATTCTAGAAACAAACAATGAGGTTATCCAAGAGTATTTGAATACCCTTCTACTTCACTTATATCAGGGTTTGAGCACAAAGTTTGTTTTGATCTGAAGACTATCGCAACCTTAAGAGAATTTGAGGAATGAAAGAGTTTTCTCTGGAAAAAGCACAGGCAGAATGTGGAATGGCACAAACTGGTTGGTCTGAGCTTACACCGAGCTCATCTCTGGCCAGACTTCTTTCCAAGACTCAGACCAGTGCCAGGGGAAGACGTGGAGCACACAGCAGGGATCATTCCATGCAATCCATTTTGGCCAACTTAGATAAGGCTTCAATTAACAATTATATAATTCCAGCTAATTTTCCCTTAACACCCTCCTGTGTTTACTAAAGGGACATGACTTTAACCCTCTGAGGGAATCAGAGGGGCTGCCATAAGAAGCTGGGATGCCCAAGGCTGCACAAGGAGCAGCTCCCAGCGCTGCTCTCAGGCAGCCCAGGCAGATCTCCAGCCTGGGGCTGGACAGGGGGACTCAGCTGGGTCACACACCATGTGTGAGGCCAAGGAGCAGAAAAGAATCCCATGATTATTTCCTACCTCTTTCAGCCTCCTTGCTGCCAGCAACTATTCACTGGCAGGCTGCAGAGACAAGTTTAAAGACTGATAAAAGACATAGAAGATAATCAAAACTTTTAAGTAAGGTGATAACAAAATATTTAGCACTAAGTAGCAGATATTTCCTGAATTCCATGATGATACAGGTGGAAACTGAAGAATTCAGGAAATTGTTTAAAGCGATCTATTCAAACGAAGATCCAAATCCTTGTTAATTAACTAGAGAAAATAGAGGAGGACCCCCTAAGAACATAAACAGCATGACAAATCTTGCAGACAAAAAAAGCTGCAACTGCTTTTGACTGTTGAGGAAGATCCACACAACACAGGAATAACAATGTGTGTCCTATTTCTGTTATCAAAATGAAAGCCAAACAGTGTTTCATTATCTGTTCTCACAGATAATTGATAAATCCAAAGCATCTCAATATTTCTATAAACTTGTTAAAACACTGCAGCAATTCAGAAGCACAATGCAAGTCAAAGTCCCAAATTTCCTGAGTTAATAACTTGCAGAAATAATCTTCACAAGTAAAACAAATGCAATTGACCCAGAGGCATCCTCCTTAATTTGTAAACAGCTTGAAACAAAAACGTCAGGAATTAATTTGCTCTTGGCCTGTATTTTAATTTTGTTGTTATTTGTTCATGAGGAGACTCCTTTAGTGTCCACTTTTCCATCTCTGTAAAACAGAAGTGGAAAAGAGAAACAAACCCACAAAGATGGGATTGAAAAAGGCATTTGATGGAGATAAAGTATCAGGGAACAAGCCTAAAAAACCCTTTAAAAGGTAGGAAAACCAGCAGTGGGTTGGATTTATGGCATTTAAAGGGGAAGAGGGGAGAAGAAGTAAAAAGCTCTGAAAACCCTTTTGAGAAACAAAACCACCAAGAATTTAAGATTTCAGTTCTCTAATCCTCCTGGGCAGGATTTCAAATTGGTATTTGTGCAGAGTATTTTTAGATCTATTAGTTTCCTCTGATACATTTCATCACATGGCATTGGGGAATATATTCTATTCATTTTAATAAAGTTGATATGATAATATAATTTCATGAATCTCAGGTTTTAGCATTTGGCAGTTATCTCTTAAATTACTCTCCAGTTATCCAAGATCTCAGGTGTGGTTTGATCCTGTTCAGTGTGCATATATATATAAATAAATAATTAAATAAATAAGTCAATATATGCAAAAAAGTTGGGTGTGCAATACAGCATGCTTACTGAATTTAAAAACTAAAATGTCAATGTGAGTTATTAAAGTTGCAGTCCCTGGAATTAAGTTGTGTACTACTTTTGACCCCTTATGATATAATTTGCCCACAGAACACCTAAAAGGAATGCAAAATATTGGTTTGTAAAAACTCAACACATTTAACTTTGGAAGATGTGTCTCGTAAGTGCAGTTAAAATCACAACCAATAGAAAGAAACAACTCTCACATGTGCAGATTTCAAAGGATCACGAAGCACCTGCAAGATTCATTTTAGTTTGAAGTTTGTTGAAGTATTGCCTGTATCAAAACCTTGTGAACATCAAATACTCTACTTCACTGGGAAAAAAACCACATTGTTTCACAGATCAGGTTTGGTTAAAAATAATTACCTATCTGCCTACATACAGGGAGGAAACAAAGTCTGCCCATTCAGCTCAAAATCAGCTCCTGAGTGATCTGGATTTTTTAATGTTAATAATTCCCAGATCTCTGCCAGTACAGGACAGCAGTGACAACAAATCCATCTTTAGAACAATCTTTTCCTTGAGAGTTTGAGGAGGAAGATACAAAACCAAGGCAGAGGTAACCCTAAGTTATTAAAGCACAAGGAACTAGAGCAAAAATAATCCCAGTTATGTATCCTTCACAACCGGGCTTTTGGTGAAAATCAAAATTTCAACACATTTTCAGGAAATTCAGTAGGAAGCAATGGAATAATTGGATATCAACAGCTCCAGGTGCCCATCCCATCCTGGTGAGCCACCTGAGTGATCCACCCCTCACTGCAGCATGGGGCTGAGTATAAACATGGAGCACATATATAGGGAAAAGGAGAAGAGTATAAAAGATTCCCTGCATCCTTTGAAAGGTTACTTGGCATTACTGTGACATTTATAACCCAGAGAAACGAAAAAAGATCAAACATGGACTCTTTTTTTACAAAATATGAAAGAACACAGGGAACAGAGTAGAGAAAATTAATACTCAAAGCATCAGCTGACAATACCCCAGAGAAACAGCCCCACATTTTAAAGGAATACCATGAGCCCTCAGAAGTGTCTTTGCAAGATGTAACACCACCAGCAGACCTCACAGGCCCTTTTAAACACGCTGGCTACTATCTTAACATTCACTGGAACCTGCTTTGTATGAAATTCTGTTCAGGTGCCCAGCTGTGGTTTATTTTCTCTGTACCACTGAATGGAAACTGTGTTTCTGTGTTTTCAGAGCTCTGCTAAAATCTCTATTTTCCCTAACTTAACAATAGCACTAATTTCACTTAAATATTGTTTCTTCTCCATTATGAGAACAATTAGCTAAGAACAGTCTTTTATGACAAAACTAATCTTTAATCATTTTCCTGTGAAAAATGATTTTCAGATTCAACTTTTCAGGTAAAATCCAGAGCACAATGCCCTCACTAGCAAGGGTTTGATTATTATTAATATTTTGAGGTACATTTGTATCTTGAGACCAACGAGTAACAGGAAATTGTGTGAAACACACACAGTACCTCCCTCCAAGACAGGCTCTGCTTTCAATGGTGACTTTCTCTGTGCTACAGAACAACGTTCAATGCAACACTTTCTGCATTTCTAGCAACAATGAATCCCTCTGAGCATCTCTGAAAGTTTCAGCTTCAAAGGCAGAGCATCAAACTGGCACCAGCCCCTGGCAGCCAAGCACTGCCTAAGCAGGTGACAGAGCACAGGCAGTGTCCTACACACTGTGTGATCATAAAAAGAATCAAAACTTCTCTTCAGTAACTTCTGCAAGAAACTGGGGAGTCCTCATTAATATTCCCTTCCTTTGCCTCACATTCATGTGTTTTAGGCACATTAATATTAAGCCTGAGGTCCTGTTTTTATGTATAGATTATGAGAATATTAATTTGGGATAAATATGGATTATTTACATGGTCTTTAGTAATATCACAAAACAGCAAGCCTTATCTAAAGGAAGAGCATTTTTAAGATGACACAGCAATTGGAATGAAGTATTAAACACCCAGTGGAATTGCTCAGAAAGGATGCAGTGCTTGGCTCACTCACATGATGATCCTCCTGTTCAGGAACCAGTATTTCCGCCGGTGCCGGTCGTAGCCGATGGGCTCGTGGCGGATGTAGGGTTTGTTTTTTTGGATTTCAGCCACACAGTCAGTCACCCCGGGCACCTGGTGTGCCACACAGACCTCACACTGCCACTCGTCCTCGGGCACCTCCTCCAGGGGCGGCTTCACGCACTCCAGGTGGTACACGGCCGAGCAGGTCTCACAGCACAGCAAATCCCCGAGTTTGTGACAAACCCTACAGTGATCATCATACTGAATAACCCCTTCTGACATCAACTCCTCACGTGCAATGTTTGTGGTAAGAAACTGATCCACTAAGAACTGCAGAACTTTGATTTTATTCTCTACTGGTCCATAAGGATAGTCCTCTGTCTCTTGGTAAGGAAGAACATGATGGTATTCCTTGTCACTCTCACAATATACCCGCAGAACCTCTGGCCACGTCATCCCATCTATGAAATACAAAGTGGAATTAACGCTATCTTTGAGGTCAGCAGGTCCAAAGGTAGTATTTGAAGTGTCTTCTTCACGTAAAACTGCTTTTAACAGCACTATGTGCATCTCTGCCATGAGTGTGCACTGCTCTTGACTTACCAGAGCAGCACAGAAGTCCTCAAAACGAAAAGGAGAGAGGCGCAAAACAGTGCCAAAGTTCCTCAGTACCTCATAGATGGCAATAACATTCATTATATGCTCACTAGGCACCATTAAGTCCTCTGAGGATTTAGGAAACTCCAAGGGTGGGATATCTTTTTCTTCCAATATTGGAGAACGAGGACGATGTGCTCTCTGTCTTCTCCTACCTGGAATAAGAAACAACAGTCAGGATTTTGCTGCTCACAGGTCAATGTGTTTGAATATGTATCATCAATCACTGTGTTAACATTCTGAACTAATGCAAATTAAGGCTTCACAAGCTTCACAGTTACATAAATGTGTTAACTCAGCTAATCATCTCATACTTTAACTAACAGTGTGAAAATAAAACACAAGATAGCTGAAGTTTTGCTTTAGACACATACAGGAATTGCATTTCCCACACAATACACATCTACTGAAGCTTTAAAATGATATCTGGAAATGTAATTGTTTAAACTACTTAAAAAGAAAGACATTTCCTGCAGCCAAAATAATAATTTTTCTCATTCTTATTCAACATGACTAGTTTAAACCTGAAACATCAAGTTCCAAACAGATATTTTGTATTAAATAATTGCAATTATTCTCCTATCCAGCAAGGGCATCCACAAAGCTCATTTCAAGCAGATGTCATAGGACATCAATCTCAACCAAATTAAAATATAAAAGAGAACCTAAAGCATGTTTCCCACTGCTTTCTAACTAGAATGTTTCTCCTGACTACCTACAAACCAAAACCAGAAAGTAAATGTGATGGTTTATGAAAATATTTCAAAAATTCTCAATTTCTCAAAACAAACAAACAACCACCTCCCCAATCCACCCTCATGCTTCAATAAAACAGGAGCCATATCCACAGAATGAAGAGGCAAAATTACAGAAGGATGAAGTTTACCAATGAAATATTTTATGAAAATATTTCAAAAATTCTCAGTTTCTCAAAACAAACAAACAATCACCTCCCCAATCCACCCTCATGCTTCAATAAAACAGGAGCCATATCCACAGAATGAAGAGGCAAAATTACAGAAGGATGAAGTTTACCAATAAAAGCTAAAGAGCTGTTTTACTACCTAAAAGACACTGAGCATAATTAATTCAGTCTCAGATGTCAATTCAGATAAGATGCTACATTTCCTTCCCTTGGATTCCACTGTCCTTGATGCCAAGCAGAAGGAAAAATAAAAGAGGAATGTTTTTTTAAATGACACTACCTGAAAGATGAAATATTTTAATCTTCTATCAGAATAACCAGCTACATGCAACTATTTCTCAGCTATCAGTTAAAAGTTTAAGATGCACTCATTAAGTTTATTTCCCTTTCTAGAAAAAAACAAGTTGAGAAAACCTCATAAACCATCAGATAGGTTTAATCCAAGAACTGAGATGAAAATGGGTTTTAGGTCCTCTTACTAAGCACACTAAGATTCTGGTCAACAACTAAATTCCAAAATTATCCATTGTCCTGTTTCAGATCCTGCTGAATCTGAGACATCATCATTAAAACATTAATGCATTGAAAAGGGGAAAAAAAAAAAAAAAAAGAAAGAAAAGCCACCTCTAAGAAACATCTTAATGCACAACAAATGATTCCAGAAAAATAAATCAACCCCTAGGCTGGTATGGCAAGAAGGCACCAGACACAGCTTTCCCTTTCCAGTGGTAAAGAATGAAATCTTGTACAACAAATTACACACCCAAACAATATAGCAGATGAACTTCAAGATATTTCCATTACAGAAGTAACAGGTCAACCTCATCTGTGGATAAAAATAACTTTCCAAGTTTGAGTTCTGACTGTGGAAAGTGAAGGAATGTTTCTATGAGTGTCTTCCAACATGCTTCTGCACTAATCATGGAAAATGTTTAATCATGGCAAACACACAAAGACAAAGCAGTTTCACAGCCAGGCACTAAGCAAGGGTTCTCTAGATTCAACTCAACTTTTCTACCAACATGATCCAAAATTCTATGTGCATAAGCCACAGCTGGTTTAATTAAAGGACCCCAAAAGCAAAAGTAGCCATGGCCACACAATAAACCTGAGGTTTATTGAAGTTTCCTTCAACACTGCAGTCCTGGCCATGCAGGACACCACAGAACAGACACTCTGAGATCCCTGACGGCCCTCACAGAGTGCCAGCATCACAAAAGGCAGCAGAGATATCAGCCAGGACTCCTTCTGGAGCAGAAAGCTGTGTCTGTCACACAGCAATGCCATGGAACAGCCCTTCCAGAGAGAGCAGCAAGGACATCAACCCTGCTTTGCCTCAACTAATGAGAAGTGACAAATCCCCCCAGTAATTTTAGACAAAGATAAAACAGAGTGAAGGAACACTGCTGGAAGAAAATGGACTCCAAACACCAATTCTGCTGATGTCTCTTTACCATGAGATAAGCATGGGATGGAATCACACAATCAGTGAAGTTGGAAACATCTCCAGGATCAAGCCCCACCACCATCTGCTCAAGTTTCACATCCACACATCCCAGAACAGTTCCAGGGCTGTGACCCACACCAGTTTCCTGAGCAGCCAGTTCCAGTGCTTTACAACCCTTCAGCAAAACAAAGTTTCCTAATATATAACCTAAACATCCACTGGTGCAATTTAAAGACACTTGTGGATCTGTCACATGAAAGTAATAGGGGAATAAAAAAAGAACTTTAAAACAAGGCATTCCTAATATGTTCTGAAAAAGTTAATCTCTAACACTTCCTCTTACAAAGGAAACATACTGGTGCTATTACAGATCTAGAAGAAATGTGTTATCAGGATATAAATGTGTCATAATAACACAATAAAGAATTGTACTTTGGTGCAAGCACAACACAACCTGTGGCTGCATTAGTCACACCATTCCATCTCCTACTTAAAGCAATTTGTGAATTTTCTTGTTTGTTTTGGTATAAAGAGCAGAAATTTCAAAAGCAAGAATAAAACAGACAATAGGAGAAGCAGAGTGGATTAGAAAATGTGTGTTTCATTGGTGTTAGGCCTCACAGTTGCAGCACATTTTGATATTGTGCACCTCAACACTCCCCATCCACACTGCAAACCACACACCACAGCTCAAGAGCTCAAATAATTTCTGTTTTTGGACACTGAACTGCTCTGAACAATTCTCAACTAAATATAAACTGGTTTGCAGAGCTAAAAAAGGCAAGTATTCAAAGATGCAGAATATTTTAGAAAGAAACTGTATTTTTCTCGAATGACTTGATGGCACAGCATTTAAAATCTTTCTATGCTGGCTTTTTTTCTTTCCAATTTCACTTTCAATTTGTTATTAATATTCTCTGTACTGGGGATGAAGAGAATTTGAAGTTGAGCAGAGAGTCACAAAGTGTGATTTGGATATTCAGAAATTCCCAGCAATTTGTGCTCCGATGTATTACTGGCCAATACACCAACTGTGATCTCAAGAAACATTCAGATACCTTTAAAATAAAACCTCAAAAGCCCAAACCAACAAAGCCAAGCAATCTAATAATCTCCAGTGAGAAGGATGGACATTCTCTGCCAAGGTGCTCATAAATCTCGAAGCATTTCAAGTGGCTGCTGAACTGGAATTAAAAGTGCAGGTCAGTGGAATATATAACGATGTCAAAGTGCTACAGATCTTTTTTTTAAGCTGAAATGTTGCTGTTTTACTGCTGATTTTTCAGTGTGCTGACAACCCACGCAGCTCACCCCGCTTTGGAGCAGCTCCACCTCCTGTGTGAGGGGTTTTGAAGGCCACAGTCCATGTTTACCCTACTGTGCCTCGTAAACACAAAAGAAAATCCCTCAAACGTTGAAAAATGCAATAAACACATACAATTTTTCAAGCTCTTCACTTTCAAAGACAATCTTCTTTTTCATGAGGCAAGTGGGCCAATATTTAAATTCAACATTCAGTGGCAGACACAAAAACCCCACAGCCCCCAGAGAACTCTGGCCACTCCAAACACTTTAGTTTAAATTATTTAAGAGATACTAGGATTTTACAACCTTTTTTTTTTTTAAACTTGTTGTCATTTGTCAAGGATTTGGGCCCCCACAGGGAAATTTTGTTTCAAATAGAAATTGCTTTGTTTAATCCCAAAACCACCAAGGGATTGCAGAGCAGGTGCACTGGCAGGTTATTTCTCCTTTAAGCACCACCACCTGACTGACCAGACTTTAAACTGAATTTTCATGTAACTACTCTAAATTCAAGAAATCTACTCTCAACTTACCCACACTGAAGTTTCCCAAAACACACTCAAGTTTTATTATATGCAAATGAGATACTCTGAGATAGTTTCTGCATGTTAACCAAGCCTCTGAAGCAAATTTCACCTTTGAGGCAGAAAATGTCCACTTCTACACCACTCAAACTCCACAGCTTTATTTGGTGGAAAAAAATTGATTTGCCAATTGCCTCCTGCTGCCACAGCTGGAATATTGACAGGATCCAGATCCCCTGGAGTGTCTGAGCTTTATGTTTCTATCTGGCACAAGCTTCTTTTAAATGGCAAATCCTTCATTGTCTCTCCCCAAGTGCTGGAGCAGTCTGCAGTGGTTACCTGTCCCTATTTTGAATTCTCTAGTTAAAGAGCTGCCTGTAATTAAGATTAAAGAGTAAACAATTCTATTTCCATGGAACAATGTAATTATCAGATACTGATAATTATAGTCTACACTTAGAATAATCTACTAAAATAATTTCTATTACAAATATTTAAGCAAACACACTAATGATATTTGAAATAAAACAAAGTTACTCAAGTAACAGTCTAAACACCCAAAATCAGAATTTACTTTAAAAACCCAGAATATTGCTTTATTTTTTTATTTGCATCTACTCAACCTACTTGGTTCAAATGCTGACCCTTTCAGAATTCAGAAATGAAAAAGAGTTTAAAAGGATCAAAAACTTTGTCCCCACTTTCATTCACAGACTGAAAGAAGAAAAGGGAAAGCCACATCTACTCTTTACCACGGGAGAATAGAGAATTTAAAACTACTCTAACCATCCTTAACACATCTGCTGGTTTATAAAACCAGAGATTCTGAATTAACTGCAGTCATCAGTGTCCAGGACACAGTTTAATGCTCTTCAGCTTCACTTGTATTCAATCACCTTACACATGTAGGCTAACAAAAATCACAAAAATCCAGTTTTGCCTTGTCTCACTGAT